AAATGAACCTTCGCTCTCTCATCCTCATCATTGCAACCCAGCGCATGACACAAACGGTTCTCAAGCACCATCCTTCTTGTGAGATATTTTTCTCTCATTGTTTCTCTTCTTTTCATTGTCCGATTGTTGATCCTCTGGATCATCCAGTTTGTGAACCATTCTGGACTCCAACGCTCCCACTTAGCTGGACATTCCTCAGGCAACGGTGGAAACTTCGGCCCTACAGGAAGAATTGGACGGTCCCTGGAGCGACATGCAGGAAGAGCTAATGCTTGCTCCGATTCATCCATACCCCCTTGATCATGCAGGCGCATTCTTCTGCAGCAAATCCATTGCAACGCCGTTGTACAGGTCACAGGTGGTACCGTGTTTGGACGGTGTTTGGACGTGTTTGGACCGTGTTTGGACCATTGTTGGACCATTGTTCGACCATGGTTGGACCATGTTTGGATTTGAAATGTCAAGTTCAAAAAACTCTTGGGACTCAACCTGCGGTGGATTCCCCGGCTGTCTCGGTGAAACTGCTGCGCACGGCCCGCCCCCAAAAAAGCACACAGCACAAGGAACAAATTGAGCAATGCCACAAACCTCTATGAAGGAGTTTATATTAGGTAGCACTTATTATTATGAATCTGTGCGATTCGAACAACTGCAGTTGGGCAAAGCTTGCGGTTTGGAGAAAGGCTCTGAATTTTTGATGAATGGATTATGTTGCGAAAGGCTTGGCGAAAGAGGTTTTCAGTACAAAGCATGTCGCCCAAAGATTCCTGATATCCAGGCAAAAAGGTTCCGGGAGATGTGGCGAAAGCAGTGGTTGCAGATTAGGAATGATTCCAAGTCTGAGTGATGAGGTGAAGGGATTGGCGAAAGGTTTAATCTCAATTAAATTCCTGGATGGTTTTTGACACTGCTCAATTCGAAGATGGAGGTTCAAGACCTCCCTGGTCCGTTTTTGTGTTTATACAAATCTGCCCGGCCCTGGCTCAAGTAAATTTGGTGGTCTGATCCATCGCTGGTCACCAATTGGTGTCAAAAGCTGGCTCACAAGCGCCCAATCTCCGACTCGAGTAGAGCAGCAGCACCCAGCGCCAGACAACGAAAGGGAACGCAAAAAAGAGCAAGGGAAAGGCAAGCGTCGTCCAGTACGTCGCCGCGTACCGCAGACAAAGGGCGGGGCAAAGGCGCCAGGGCAAGGCTAGGCCGCCAGCAAGGAAACGGCGTCCAGGATACAGCACCAAAAACAGAAAGCGCGAAAAAGGAAAAGGAAAACGAAAAGGGAAAGGTACAAGGAGAAAGGAGAAGATAAAAGGAAAAGGCAAAGGCAAGGAAAAGCAAAAGGAAAGGAAAAGGAAAGGAAAAAGGAAGGAAAAGGAAAAGGAAATGAACAGGCAAAGAAATGAAAAAGGAAAAGGCAAGGAAAAGGTAAAGGAAAAGGAAAAGCAAAGGCAAGGAAAAGGAAAAGGAAAGGAAAAAGAAAGTAAAAGGAAGAGGAAAAGGAATTGAAAAAGGCAAAGATATGGAAAAGGAAAAAGCAAAGGCAAGGAAAAGGCAAGGAAAAGGAAAAGGCAAAAGGGAAAGCAACGTTTCAAAGAAAGGAAAAGGAAAAGGCAAAAGGAAAAGGAAAAGGCGCATTAAAGGCAAGGACAAGGAAAAGGAAAAGCCGGGCAACGACCAAGAAAAACCGGCCAACGACCAGGAAAAACCGGCAACGCCCAGGAAAAGCCGGGCAACGACCAGGAAAAGCCGGGCAATGACTAGGAAACGGCGGGGCAAGGACCAGGAAGAACCAGCGAAATGGAAAAAGAAAAGGAAAAGGAAAACGCAACACCCAGCAAAGACCAGGTAAAACCCGGCAACGACCAGGAAAAACCGGGCAACGGCAACGACCAGGAAAAGCCGGGCAATGACCAGGAAAAGCCGGGCAACGACCAGGAAACGCCACCAACGACCAGGATACGCCACCAACGACGTTGCAAAACCACATCGCCCAGCGCGACCCCGCGTACCACAGGCAAAGGGAGGCCAGGGGAGTTCAATGAGTTGAAGAAGCCATGGAATGAGATCGTCGCCCAGACTTGCGAAGGTTTTCGTACTGTTGATGGCAACATCCCCTGTCCTGCTTGTATGAACATCGCGCCAAATGTTCTCACTATCTGTCTTCACTGTCATTGGCGATTCATGAGTTGCGGTGTGAGGAACACTGTAGCCACGACCACTACTATCGAGATCGACGACGACCACGACGAGGTCAAGATCGAGAGGGATGTGGAAATGGAGCAACCTGCCAAATGAAGAAATGATGAAGGAAGTCAAGAATGTTCTGCAATCCAAGGTCACGGATGATGACGAAGACGATGAGGAAGTCGACTTGAAATTCATTGACGACGATATCATGGCACAATCAGCAGCTAACAAGAATGATCAACAAGCTGACGTCCACACCCCTTTGTTCGATGAGTCGATGAGGTAGACTATGATAGGGTCTCATTGGCGCCGGAGATCGAAGAGGAGATTGACGAGATGGAAGCCATTCTCAAGGGTATGGTCGGACATCTACCCTGAGGATCCGATATTGAAAAATCAATCTTACGATTGGTCCCAAAATGTTCAATAATATTGAAAATGGTCAACTTGGAATTGGAAGCCGAAAAATTCAATATCACGATCAATATAATATTGGTCACGATATTGGTCGATATTGGTCAATTTTGGTTTCAAAAACTGACCATGATATTCATCAGGACATTGGTCAATATTGATCGTGGAGATCCTGTGGAGTTCGTGTGGAGTTCCTGTCAAGATCCTGTGGAGTTTAGAATCCTGTCGAGATCCTGTAGAGTTCCTGTGGAGTTTAGAACCCTGTGGAGATCCTGTGGAGTTCCTTTTGACATTGATATTGGTCTTGATATTGATCATGATATTGGTCGATATTCATCAAACATATGGATTATTTTTCAATCTTCAATATTGAAAAAACAATCCTGCGATTGAAAAAAGTCAAGTTCAATATTATTGAAAACTTAATTTTTGCGATATTGATGTTTTTCAATATCGGATCAGCTGAAGGATGTTGAAGTCGAACCTGCGGAACAGGAACTCAGACGAGGACGAAGAACACGATCAAGAAGAACCAAATTAGGACCTGTTGATCCCGACGTCGGCTTGCCCAACGACGAGTTGCCTAAGCGGTGCAGATTTCCAGAACCAGCCCCTTTGGACTTGCAAGAAGAATCAGGATGTGAGGACAGGCAAAGGCTCATCCGGTTTGATGGACCGATATATCATAAGGTGGGTGACACAGTTGATATCGCTTATGTACAAGTCATATCACCTCTTGACCGTCGCCGACTTCAAGAAGCTCTCCAGGCGAAAAGACTTGATGTAATGTCCGACTTCACCAATGGACTTTCAACGGATTGGACAACAATGACATGCCCGTGAAGACCCCAACAGATGATCAGATGCGAGCATTCGCAGAGAAGCGCAATATCGCGTTTAGTGAGGCATGGCATCGTTTCCGTGGAGAGCTCACCATGGGTAGATTTGCTTTGCAACGCAAGCAATTGCTGTCGGCTATACTCCAGGTTCCTTCAAAGCTGAATTCAATGAAATCGACATTCCTCAGGGCGCCGCCCCAGAGCAGATCGAGAAAAAGAAGAGGGCAAAGTCAAGCGTATAATGTCAAGAATGGTCCGAAAATGCTCGAACCGTCTACAAGGTCACTTCATGTTCCTATTTCAGGAAGGATTTGACTGACGGTGTGTCTCACAAACGCATTGACCCAGTTGACATCGTGTGTGCAAGACCCAAGAACAGATGGGATAGGGCGATTCTATTGGTATTGGACCAATCCAAGGTCAAGCTTCCACCTATGGCGCAGGAAGTCTTATTGGAGATGACCCGACATACCGATGAACGAGCCTTCAAACGTTGGAACAGCATGTTGGAATTGGATCAAGTCAAGAGACTCATGGATAAGTAGGAGCGAATGTTTCCAACACTTCGACCGCCGCAGCCGAGCGTTGGGCCAGAGATTGAACGGCCACTGCGATCGGAAGCAGCGTCCTCAAGCCACCAAAATCAAAGAGACGCTCAACACCAAGACCCGAAAGGCAAAGGGAAAGGCAAGCAAGGTGGCAAGAGTTCCAAAAGCTCCCAGGGTTACCAACCTACTTGGGAGCGATTCCATTGGAACCAACGACGTTGGAGCAACCCAGCCATGAGCATGAATACTTATGATGCAACAGGTCTACTCACGGATATATATGTAAACATCCGAATAGTTCCGTTAGTGTTGTGTAGTACAGAGTCCGTTTCGGCCTTGCGGCATCAATTGGAAGCCTATTGCTCAGTACACTTGCCCTTGGATTTAATCATGTGTATCCGAAGCTGACAGCATAGGATACATGGGGGGTGTCAATGGAAGTGCGACCACAGCATATAGCATGTATAGCTCGTACATCACACGTGTGACGACTAACCGCCTTTTGGCTCAAGTGCGCCCATCAGAGAAAAGGTCCGCGAGTGCCTTCGCTTTGCATGGAACGCAGGATAGCTTTGATAACTGTCGGGTTACAATAAGGTATCCACACGCAGCTTCCAACCATTTTTGTGGTTGGTAATCAGGAGTTGTAGTCTTTTGGTCGTGAAAATCTGTTATCCCACTATTTTCCTGGATTTGGTTTTGCATATCGTAGGGGAGAGTTTGTTTTATCGTTTTATAAAGGTTCCACTTGTCCAATTTTTTTGCGTCACTGGTGGGTCTGCTTTTGCATTTTATATAAACACCAGCAGTTTTTTCAAAGATTGATTTTATCATTTGCCACCCATTCTATGGACACAATTTCTCGATAAAATGCCCGGCAAGTGATCCTAGGGGCAACGCACAGAGGAGTGTACTACTTTATTTATTCAGGATGTTTTTTTCACTTAGGCTTTGCAGGGCAAGTGGCATTCAGACCGTACGTGCCCTTTCCGGAGGGTGTGTGATGAACATTGAGGTCAAATGCCTCAAGATGTTGCTCATGAAATTGGAAAGGAAAAGGAGGCGAGACACTGATGCAACACCATGCAACTTGGTTTTGAACAAACTATGTGCGGTGTTGACCAGGAGCGACCAGGTGTTCGCCGCTTCCTGCCGGATGCAAATGGACAGGACTCATTTTGCGGAATCTTCCTGGGCTCCTGTTACTCCTGTTGTTGGTAAATGATATCTTTGACTTCGACTCTTCTCAGACAGAATCTTGTTGTACCTTGAAACCATTTGCGTATGGGAAGATCCCTGATTCCCCAATCAATAGCCACGTGATGGGGTCTTGCAAACCAACAGGCGGACGGGCCTCGTTTTGTCACCGTATGGTGTCCCGGTCCTGTTGTGATAGTGCCCCGGTCCTGTTGTGATGGTGTCTTGATCAAGTTGTGATGGTGTCCCGGTCCTCTGGTGATGGTGTCTTGGTCAAGTTGTGATGGTGTCCCGGTCCTATGGTGATGGTGTCTTGGTCAAGTTGTGATGGTGTCCCGGTCCTATTGTG